TACTGAGACTCTGTCTGAGCCCAGTCATTTTATGACAAGATATTTCAAGTTACCATCCTAGATGATGCATCATTCTCACAAATACAGGTGTAAACAGTTCTATATGTCTACAGCAAACAGCACCAATAGTTCCTCACCTTTACAAAGGCCACACAAACAGACCACCCTTGTCTAGCTCACAGTTGTACTCAGCAGTGCTCATCCCATCTTCAGAAGGATGGAAAAAAGGCATATATAAACTAAAACCATAAAACTAGAACTAAACTCAATCCTCTGAAAAACAAGCACGTAACACAACTTCAAACCTAATATCAATATGACTGAGAAGCTAGGCAAGAGTCAGGCATCTTGTAAGCTGCTCCAGCTGGTAAAAAATAAAGGTAGCACGGTCCAGTATTTCTTGTCTGTGTACAAGTTCTGTTCCCAAAAGAAAGGGAGAATAAAACATCAAAAGGAGTATGTCATTGCTCAGAGTCTGAATCAAGAATTTGTTCAGACGTCAACTGGCTTATGTCCCTCTTCCCCAAAATGAATCTCTTCTTCCCACTGTTCATACTTGCTGTCATCCAAACCAAGATTTTCCAAAATCCCTAGCAGACAGAGCTCATTCCTGAGCAGCTCTGTGTTTACCTTTTTTCTCAGCAATCTCGTAACTGCGGATAGATAAGTTTTGTTTACCACAATTGTCTGCGCATAACCACTGCTGTTTTTGTTCAGCTTACCACAGCTGTATTACAAAAAAAAATCCACTAACATGCATTCACTAGGTACCAATAAACATGTTACTACAGGATTGAAGTTCTATGTCTGAGAATTTTAGCAAGAATATCTCTAATAGCAGAAAGGAATTCACACACAACCTCCTCCCTGGTGTCATCCTGTCCTTATCTCAGTCAACAAACATCCTGATGTTCCAAGAACTTGCACAGTTCTGTCAATACACTGCATTTCCCCTGCTTCTCACTGCAACAAGTCTGTAAATTTCGAACTTCTAAGCTACACTTCCTAGTGCCTAGGCTATCCTGTTATGGGTGTACTTGATTTTTTGAAAAAACAAACAAACAAACAAAATGCTTGAAAAGTTTCAATAACCTCTCTTCACTAGAAACGCAGACATTACTTGATTGTTAGGGGTGGGTTTGGAACAAGATAAGTAAGCTAATCAGACCTCTGAACATACCACCATATTGTACTTCGCTTAAAAAGAAAAAACAGAACAGTATTAGCACTACTAACTGATTATACTAATCAGTTAACCCTTTGTTGCCAGGAATCAGTGTATTACCTCCTGCTCCTTCAAAAAACTCCTTTAAACACACTTCAAAATTTTATACCTAGTGTATTAGAAGTATGGAGTCATTTAGGGTGAATGCAGCATTTCATACCTTTCAAACTTTATCAATACTTAGTGCTTTGGAAAGGCAGGTGTAGGAGCAGGCTCACAAACACTGCTATGCCAGAACTACTGAACAGGGTGTATTCTTCTCACACTGCCTCAGGGGCTACTGATTTGATAGAGACCACACCTTTACTGATTATTCTTCCTCTTCAGTGATCCAGAGAATTAAAGAAACCTATTTAACCACCCTTTAACCAGCCCTATTTAACCACATGTTTCAATGAAGCCTAAAAGAAAGAGTAACAGTGGATTCGGTTCATCCTGGTCCATAAACAATTTTTAACCATAAGCAAAAGCAAGAGATGCTGACTCTGTGAATATGAAGGTACCCTATCCTACAACATTATAACATATTAATTTACTACAAAACAAAGTATAGGACCAAGAGAGGAACAACTTGGATTTGAAAACAAATCAAAAATGCTGCTTTGAATAGGCTGTAAAACACACAGTTTAGTACACAATTCAGACAAATGGGTTTTCCTAGATTTTCAATTCAATTAATCATTCAGTACATACAATAGTAGATTTTCCAGGTAACTTTGAAAACAAAGAAACAGATATGTTAGTTCTGACAACTCTCACTAATTTTTGTGACATTTTAGGGAAGATTTGAAAGCTCATCACTCTTTTGGGACAGGATTCCTTTACATATTTTAGCTAGCTACTTAAAGGCTTATTCGAAATATCAGGCTCAGTGGAGAACACTGACTAAATTTAAAATGATTTAATAAATATATGCTGTCACATGCAATTGTTCAGAAAAAAAATAAATTCAGCAAAAGCAGACAAAACTCCAAGAATGCCAGAGAATTGCTATCAAGTCACTGCATGATGCCATTTTGGTCATATTTAAAGCAATGTAGTAGACACATTAGAGCAGGCTTTTCCACTCAGACTTGTTTAATGCACACTGCAACAGCTGGAAGCATAAGTCTGAGAGGAGGGTTGAATTCTGATACAATTATTTAGTTTTTAAACCCCATTTAAGAAGGGTTTAAAGAAGGTTTTTTGTTTTTCAACAGTTTACAAAATGATTACCCAAGAGACATACACTGATGAAAGCAGTTCCAATGAAAAGCGTACACCTCTACCACAGCTGCCCCAAACGCTCACAGGCCAAAGGATGACTGTAGTTTTCCAGAATGTATAGTTGATACAATGTCATGGCCAAAATACAACTCTGAGAATAGCGAGTAAGGTATTTATCTGTGAGGAAATGAGAAGCTAGTAACTTGAACAGAATAAGTATTTAAGGAATGGCAATGTGAAAATAACAGTAAGTAGACATTACATCAGCTCTAATATTACTATTTGAATTTGAAATTCAGAAACATCATTCGTAACACCTTTAAATGATCACCACTACACGATGTTCATTGATTGGTACAAAATAAGAGATTGATACTAATTCTCATCACACCGAAGAAATGTAAAGCAAATGAATACCACCAAATCTCATGTTCTTCTTTTAATGATTTTGTCTCAAATATGAAAATAAAAGCATTAGTAAGTGTCAGCCTTAATACTGAAGTGAACTTCCTCTGGTTTTCACTGGCAAAGATTCTGCAGTGGACTAGGTATGCAAAAACAACTATTTAAACCAAACTGTGCTGATAGAATGTTTGGATAAGAAGAGTTTTAATATAATTTTGAGTTGTATTACCTTTACAACACTAATAGGTAATAAAAAAAGAAAAAACCACACACATAGACACACATATAAAACCCCCAAAGTTTTGATCATTAAAGCAAAAAGAGATATTATCTACCTTAATGTGCATAGCGAAGAAATTAAGAGTATTTTCCAAGTCATTTCTCAGAGTAATGCCCTGTGTAAAAGGACTAGGTATGAAACAGTCCAAAAAGATTTGGTACTGTGTGGCTGGATCATGCATTGTTGGAGAGAGTAAATTATAAAAGTACAGTAGAATCCCATCTTAATTACTCATCTTGCACAACAGTAAAGAAAGACACTGTAAAACATTTGATTTCAAATTAAGATGATGATACATAAGATCAGACTGGGGAAAGGGAAACAGGGAAATAACTTAAAAACCTGCTGCTATATCAGAGTCCTCAGCAGTTCATAAAACAGTGTTGAAACTGAGATGCTCATTGACAACACCTGAATTTAAACCCTGATCATATATAATACTCTCTCCCCTAATGTTTTCCCCCTATGAAAACGATGCAAAAATGTCTTCTCACTAGCCTCCATTAAGACAAAAAGCAAGATATTCTTCAGTAAATTAAGCAGAGGACAATTAAACAGTGTATTTAAGGAAACAGAGAGAAGATGCACTGAGCTCCTACAGGAAGAGTTTGATGGAAAAGGAAGACCATGATCACTCTGACCTGCAGCAGTTTTTTAAAGGACATCCAGTGAGGCATCACTGATTTTATTATACTGATCACTCTGCCACAATGCTTATTCCCCATAAAAACTTGTGGGCTATAATATATAGCTGTGACCAGTGGTGCAGCCCAACACATAAAATTAGTATGTGCACTTATGCAGAAAGAGAAAAAAGTTCCTCCTCTCTCCTGCATGGACATACACAAAAAGGCAAGTTTCAGCTGGACAGTGTCTCTATAACACAGGCTAGCTTTCCAAATTTCTGGTAATTAATAACTGAAAACTCCATAGCTCAGAAGAGCTTACAGACTATTCTTTCATGGTTTTCCCTGAACAGAACATTAATACATATAAAAATCTGGTAGTTAATATATTCTGTTTTCCATTAATGCTTGTAAAACCTTTTGCTCTAGCTCTTAGCATAACACACTTTCTCAGGCTGTATTTAGCACTCCATAAGCAGGACAAGAATGCTCCATCAATGGGTATCTTAGGGAAGATGCTTTCTCCATGTTTTAAGCAGAATGAATTAACCCTACCTCAAAATAAAATTCAAAAAGACCCAGGGATCACATGTAGGAAAACAGAAGGGGGGAGGGGTGGCTGTGCGTGTCCACACGTATTTGTGCACACACACACACACACACACACACACACACACACACACACAGCCATCTTTGTGGGAAATAGCTACTGTAGCATTACAGTTATTATGTTAAAGGTATATGGATGTATAAGAGATCCTACACGTTATAATACGTAAATTTCAAAGCCATAATAGAAGACCCCACAAAAGATGGCTGGTCCTGGCCATCGTGGAGTGGCCTGGGCCAGAACTCACACCAAGCTCGGCATGGTGCAAGCCCCGCGGAGGCCGGGCGAGGAGGGGCGAGCCCCGCCGCCCGGCACAGCCATCTCCGCCCGTGGCCCGCGGCGGGCACGGCGCGGCCCTGCCCGCGCTGCAATTGCAGCGGGGGGTAGCGGGGGCCGGGCACTGCCCGCAGCGGGAGCGCGGTGCCCCCGGGGGGCGGCGGCGGGGATGCCGCGGGGATGCGGACGCGGCTGCCACGGCCACCCGGCGCCTGCCGCGGGCGAGGGGCCGCGGGGCAGCGGCTGCACGGGCCCACTCACCCACCTCCCGCTGCGCCCCCTCCCTCCCTGCCGCTTGGCCGGGCCCGGCTGGGCTGCGCCGGGATGCGGGACGCCCCGGCAGGTTACGCCTGGCACCCCGCCGCGCTTTACCTCAGCCAGCCCGGCAGTCGGCGGCGGTGGGCAAGGGCGCAGGGATCGATGAAGATGGAGGCAGAGGCGCAGGTAGAACCGGAGGCGGCCAGGCTCCCTGGCAACGTTCACGGCGAACCTCCGCGCACCTCCAGCTTCGCCCGGTCCTGCTGCCCGCCGCCTGATATCATCCCCGCGGCAGCCTCCCCGCCCCTCGCCGCTGACGCACTCCCGCTGATATGCCCGGAGCCGCCGCTTGCTCCGCGCCGTCCGCCATGGCGGCTGCGGGGACCCGCATCACCCTCCCCGCACACACGGCTCGGGGTGTGGTACCTCCACCACCGCCCCCGCCACCACGGCACATTATGCGGTACCTGTGCCATCGCTCACCACGGCGGCAGCCCTGGGACCTGCTTCGTAGCCAGCCTCCGTGCCGGAGGTGGTACCACACCACCGCTCACCGCCGTGGTGGCGCCTGTCCTGTGGTCCTGGCACACAGAGGTAACCCAGAGCTGCCTCAGAGGTCTGGGGTAGTTGCAAGGAGGAAGGAGCAAGGCTGCACGTAGTCTCTTAGTGCTGGGCAGCTCACTATGAGGCCAGGGGTGAAACATGCCAAGAATGGTGGCCTCATGGATCCAGTCAGCAGGGATTGCCTCCCCATCTCTAACAGATGCTCACACCATGGGCCAGCCTAGGTCTCACTGCTGCTCAAGTTTGCCAAAATGGGGTGCTGATTGAACTCAAGTACTGGCAGAAGTGTTTACCAAAGGAAAATGTTCATCCTTGTCCCCCAGCACCAACCACCACTGGCCACAGCACCTGAGTGTCCACCCCCAGAAAGACCCACCCGCGTGCCAGGGAGCTGAAGAACACCAAAATAAAAAAAAAAAGTTTCTGTGAGAGGAAAGCATTTGCCCTTGACTCTGGCTATAAAATGTACCCTTGCTTTATAGAGGTGATCCTTTGCTCTGAACTGGGGAAACAGTAGGTGCACAGCTGTTGTGGCATCTGTTGGACAAAGAAGGCTGGGCAAAAATTGGGATCACAGCCCAATTTGGGGGGCAGAAGCCATTCCATGGGCTTCTCAGTGTTATGTACCAAAGACAGCTTTGTCACTCCAGGGACCAGGGGAACAGGTATTCAGTGCATTAAAAATTATTATGTGCATGTCCAAATGTATTGGGTTTGTGTTTCAAGGTTTTGCTAGTGGGGAGGCAACAGGGATGACTCCTCTGAGAACCCACCAGAAACTTTGCCCATGTCTGACAGCCGATGCCAAATGACTACAAGACGGACCCGCAACTGGCTAAGGCCATCAGCAACTGTGGGGGTACCTCTGGAGTAATATATTTCAGAGGGGGGAAAACAACTTGCACACCTACAGCCCAAGAGTGGAGTGAGTACATGTGAGAGAAAAACTCTGCAGTCATCAAGGTCAGTGAAGAAGGAGGGGGAGGAGGCACTCCAGGCTCTAGAGCAGAAATTCCCCTACAGCCCATGGAGGTCCATGGTGGAGTAGAAATCCACCTGCAGCCTGTTTAGGATCTCACATTGAGAGCAGGTGGATATGCCCACAAAAGGCTGTGACCCTGTGCAATGCCTGTGTTGGTGCAGGCTGCTATCAGGACCTGTGGAGAGAGAAGCCCACACTGAAGCAGGTTTGCTGGCAGGACTTGTGATCCCCTGGGGCACCCATGCTGGAGTAGTTTGTGAAGAACTGCTGTCTGTGGGAAGGACTTACATTGGAGAAGTTCATGGAAGAGTGTTTTCCTTGGAGGGCCCCCATGCTGGAGCAGGGGAGGAGTCCTCCCCCTGAGGGGGAAGCAGCAGCAGAGACAACTTGCGATGAACTAACTACCATGCCTATTCCCTGTCTCCCTGCCCTGCTCAGACAGAGGAAGTAGAGAAAATTGTGAGGGAAGTTGAGCCTGGGATGAAGGAAGGAGTGGAGAGACAAAGTGTTTCTAAGATTTGGGTTATTTCCCATTATCCTACTGTGTCTATTTTGCCCGTGACAGTAATTGTTCAGTGATCTCTCCCTGTCCTTATCTCGATCCATGAGCCTTTTGTTATATTCCCTCTCCCCGGTCCAGCTGAGGAGGGGAGTGACAGAGTGGCTTTGGTGGACAGCTGGCATCCAGCCAGGGTCAACCCACCACACAAAATAATGTAACTTTGCTGAAACAGATTACAAGAGGGAGTTTGGGAGACAGCATCAATAGAACTTTTAAAAATCAGTGATCATCTTAAAACTCTTTTTAAGACAAGCTTTGACAAAGTTCTCTTGGCTAGAGAAAAAGGGCCAAAGTTTACGCTCCCTTAATTTTTTCTGCTAATTAGAGTAATACTGATTGTATTTTGCACTTGTATTTCAAAAAAGACTTTTTTTTTTTTAACATAGTGTTATATAGTGGAAATTGTTCTGCAATACACAGTAGTAGAAAATAGGACATCTTAATGGAGCAAGATTGCAAATTAAACTTGTCGGGAAATTCTTAAAGTAAGTACCTCCCCTTCCTGTATTTTTTGCTTTTGCATAAAGGGAAGAACGTAGAAATTTGTAGTGGTTTTCTACCTTCATTGTTGCTGACAGTTTCATGGAAGAACCAAGCACCTTTGGTGAAAAACTTTTTGGCCATGGTTATTTACTAGGCATTTTAAAGGAGATAAGGAGACTTGGACGTGCACAATGTAATTTCATAAAAGTATTTCCTTTTTAGGTGCTTGGGATATGGATGTGCTATTAAAATCCTCATCATAAAATCTTTTAGAAGAGGAAATAAAAAGACAAATAAGATCTTAAGGCAGAAAAATAAATTCAGACAGAAATCCTCCAATAAGTTACTGCCTTTGCAGGTCATCTTCAGTATTGTTTAAAAATAGAAATATACTTAGTATTAAATGTTACAGCTAACAATTGTGGGACTTGCACTATAAAAATCAAGAATTTAACAGGCAAAAGACTGGGTCAGACATTGGTCTGACAAGTAAAGAACTGGTGGCAGATGCTGCTGAGTAGCTCTGATGGCTACACACCTGTTGAAGAGCATAGGTAGGGCCAGCAAGATTTGTCAGTCAGGGAGTTAGTTCTTTATTGCTAATGATTCAGGAGTGCCTAAGCCATGTAAAAAAAAAAGGGATAACCCTGCTCTCTGCAAGGTTTACATAACAGACCAAAGCATAACAAACCAAGCATACAAAGCACACAAAATCACAGTCACTGACAGTCTCACTGTATTTCTTTCTTTTCATCCGTAGAAAAGGGCAAACTTTGGGGTGTTTTTAAATTATGTGTAAAGAAAGAACGGTTTGAAGAAAGAAACATGCATCTTTAAATTCCTTTTACTGACAGGTTCTTTTACAGCCCATCAAGCAGGTATGTGGGCTCCATCTATCCTCCAGCTTTCTCTTACCTAACCTCGCCCTCCACCCCCCACAACATGGACAAATGCAGAATTGACATCCTTTGCATAGGCATGTTCACTCCATTAGAAGTGATGACATCTTGTGATCTCTATTGATGAGATATTTCCATCCATGTGACTTATTAGCAAAAGTCTGTATGATGTACTGTGGTGGGTTGATCTTGACTGCTGCCGTATGCTCGACAAGGAGCTCTATCACTCCTCCTCATCATATGTACAGGGGAGAGAGAATATGATGAAAGACTCATTGGTTGAGATAAGGACAGGGAGAGATCACTCACCAATCGCTGTCACAGGCAAAACAGGCTCAACTCAGGAATTTAATGTAGTTTATTGCCAAACAAATCAGAGTAGGATAATTAGAAATAAGAACAAATCTTAAAAACAGCTTTCCCCTGCCCCCCCTTCTTTCCAGGCTCAAGTTCACTCCTAATTTCTCTGCCTTTTCCCCCAGGGTGACACAGGGGGACACGGAATGGGAGTCATTGCAGTCAGTCCATCATGCATTGTCTCTGCTGCTTCTTCCTCCTTGCACTCTTCCCCTGCTCCAGCTTGGAGTCCCATACACAGGAGACAGTCCTCCACAAACTTCTCCGATGAGTCCTTCCCATGGGCAGTTCTTCACAAACTGCTCCAGCATGTTCTGTCGTAGGGTCCTCTGCAGGCTGCAAGTCTATGTGTGCTGCATCTTGGACCTCCAGAGACTGCAGAGACACAGCCTGGTTCACCATGGTCTTCACCATGAGCTGCAGGGGAATCTTTGTTCTCTCACTTGGAGCAAAGCACCTCCTCCCTCTCTTTTTTCACTGTCCTCAATGTCTGCAGAGTTTCTGACATTTTCTCACTTCTCTCTCTCTCACCCTTTCTTAAATACATTATCACAGAGGCACTACCACCACTGATGGTTAGCTCAGCTTTGTCCATTGGTGGGTACATCTTGGAGCCAGCTAGAACTGGTGCTGTTAGACATGAGGGGAACTTTAGCAGCTTCTCATAGAAACTTAGAGGTCTCATAGACCCCTGCTACCAAATCCTTGCCACGCAAACCCAATAGAATCACACACAAAAATGTTTGTCTCTCTCTTCTTATATTCCCATAGTAGGGCTAGAAACATCCCCATTCCTGGTCAGCTTATTCCATCTACAAAAGGATTTTTCTCTCTCATCAGAAGCTTATTGCGTATCCAATGCATGCAATAGAAATAACAGTTCCTAAGCTAGCACCTTCTTTTCAATTTCCAATTTGGTAGTCTGAAATCTCCCTTTTCCCTACAAGTACTGTACAAGTTTTGCTTTCCAACTCTGACCTTATTTGGCCTAGTCCCTACTGTCTCAAGGGCTTCATGTTCTGTCTTCTGGTATGAAAACATTTTTGAGTGGTCACAATTAGTTTTATCAGGAGGTGAAATTTCTGGAGCATTTTTATATTATTCCATAAACTTTTGTCTGCATCTTGTATTTCTTGACAAAAGCTTCTTACTCCCCAAGTACAGAATGGGCATTTATACATAAATCAAAAGTATTCTAAATGATCTAAATAGAAAGCTTTCTCATGTAAAAAAAAATGGAAGCTGAGAATAAAATCTGGACAATTCTTCCTTTACCTTATGTTAAGGAGTCGTATCATACATATGGAGATTTTCTGACCTCACACAAGTGGAACTGCATTGTAAACCACTTACACAGATTTCCTCTTGTGCCATGCTGATGTTATAGTCGGATGTGTGGTTGCCTCACAGCAGACACACTAATAATCCCAGATGTGTGGTTG